ATACAACTACATGAACGAATGTCAGACAGTACATTGAAGGACAGAAGCCGACAAAAAGGAGCACATAATGTATTTTTTTTTTTTTTTTTTTTTTTGGAGACAGAGTTTCATTCTTGTCGCCCAGGCCGGAGTGCAGTGGCACGATCTTGGCTTACTGCAACTTCTGCCTCCCGGGTTCAAGCGATTCTCCTGCCTCAGCCCCCCGAATAGCTGGGATTACAGGCGCCCACCACGCCCAGTTAATTTTTGTATTTTTTAGTAGAGACGGGGCTTCACCATGTTGGCCAGGCTGGTCTGGAACTCCTATCCTCAAATAATCCGCCTGCCTCAGCCTCCCAAAGTGCAGGCGTGAGCCACCGCGCCCAGCCTGATTCCATTTTATACGAAGTTCTCCAACAGGCAAAATGGTTATGGAGATCAAAATAAAGGTGGGGTCGGGAATCGACTGGGAAGAGGGGCGATGAAACGCTTCTGGGACGATGAAATGGGTCTCTGACTTGGTAGGCATCACGCAGTGGTTACGGCCAAAACTCATCTTCCTGTACACTTGGTCTGTGCACTGCGCTGTGTGTAAATGCCACCTCGATTTAGGAAAAAGATGACATATGTACGGCACAAAGTGCTCGGTACGCGGCAGGTGCATGGGGAGAAACTGCGGAATGAAACAACAGCGAGCTAAGAGATGGGTAACCGGCAGAAATGAATTCGAGTTCCGCCTCCTACCGGGAAGAACCGGCTCGGGCCGGAGGGCTGCACGGAGGACCACACGGACGCCTGCGGGCCCGCCCCTTCCGCTTCACGACGTTCGGCCTGCGTCTGGAACTGGAATGGCCTAGCCCAAAGCCAGATAACAGGTAGATTGTTTTTCCGACAAATTATCAAACGATCCATTATTGCACTCTTTCAAAATTTGATTATCAGACGTACCCATTCTTTTCTTTTTTCCTCCGGAAAGATGAGATGTACTCATTCTTGAAAATACCCCCGGGCTTGCCTTCTGCACACTTCTTTCCCTCCCTGTCTCACGCCATGGTAGCGTCCGCCTAGGTTGCAGGCGACCCGCGGGGTGGGGCACACCATTCAAAGAAGGGGAGGGATTGAGGTTTGCATCAAAACAAATACCCCTGCCTTTGCAAAGGCCATAACCAAGTAATCCAGAAAAAAAAAGTGCGGGCGGAGAATAGCAGCCTCCCTCTGCAAGTAAAAGGAACCGGCCTAAAGGACATTTTTTCTCTCTCTCCTCCCCTCTCATCGGGTGAATAGTGAGCTGCTCCGGCAAAAAGAAACCGGAAATGCTGCTGCCAGAAGCAGAAATGTAAATGTGGAGCCAAACAATAACAGGGCTGCCGGCCCTCTCAGGTTGAGATGGTCCTCCTCGGCCTGGCGGGCAAACCCCTCGTTTAGCACTTCTCACTTCCACGACTGACAGCCTTCAATTGGATTTTCTCCATCTAGCGGAGCCAAGGGCTGGCTGGAAAGATCGCTGCAGGAAGGACAAAGGTCCGGAAGTTGTGGGACCTTAGCAGCTTGGGCTCCCCGGATCACCTCCAAATGATCATTTCGGAATGGAGCCCGAGGTTTCACTAGAATGCCATGGGCTCTAAAATATACAGCCATGAGTTCTCAATGTTTCGAGATCCAAAAGTCTCAGATCTCAATGCTTTGTGCATCTTTTATTTCAGGGATTCCCTACGCCTAGCACCGGGTAGATGTGCAAAGGAGTACCCTTTAGGCCGGCTCAAGGTTCCCCAAAGCTCCACTTCTCTGCCTAGGCGTTCAACTTTGAGTTCGGATGGTCCTAACATCCCCACCATCTACACCCAGGTCTCCCAACAATGCAACTCCTATGTTGATCCCTCTAGCCAAGCTTCCATCCCACTCACCCCCAAACTCGCTAAGTCCCCACTGCCCCACCCCCAGCCCCAGCGATTCTCCCGAGCTGAAAATGCACGGAACCGATAGCCCGTGACTCAGAGAGGACTCATCAAGTTCAGTCAGGAGCTTACCCAATCCTCAGGGAAGCGTGTCACCGTCTTGGAAAGCACGCTCCCAGCCCGGACGCCAAGTGTCCCCGGAGCCCCGCAGCTACCTGCTGCCTGGATGGTGGCTCTAGACTTTTGAGAAGCTCAAAACTTTTAGCGCCAGTCGAGCACATGGGAGGGGAAAACCCCAATCCCATCAACCTCTGCGAGGCTCCTGGCACAAAGCTGGACAGTCGCCATGACAAGTAAGGGCAAGTAATCCGCCCGCCGGAGGAAGCAAAGGAAATGGAATTGGGGAGGAGGATGCAGAGAGAGTCAGGATTCTCGCCGAACTGGTGCCGTAGATACTAACATTTTGGGGTGGAAAATTCTACAAGCCAGAGCTGTGAGGGCAGAATTGGTGGAAACCATTTTGGAGGAATCCTAAGCTGTGTCAAATATGAAGGGTGGAAGGAAGAAAGCTTTTGCGTTTGCTCTCAGCTGGATCCTTTCTTCTCAACAGCTAAAATGTCATTTTTTAGGAAGGCTTTCCTTAATATCTCACGCTAACGTTTCTCCCACATACTTTGTATCACACCATCTTGTTTAATCTTCACAATACTTATCACTCTGAAAATATTTGTTAATTGCTTTCAGTACATGGAAACGTAAGCTTTATGAGGATATAGAATTTTTCTACTATCTTATTTATTGTTGTATTCCTCAGTGCCTATATCAGTCCTGGGTAGCAAGTAAGAGCTCGATAATAAATACTTTTTGAATGAAGGAAGAGAGAAAGGTCTGGAGCCTGGAGAACGCGATGAAAAGAGGTGCAAGACCTGCAGCGCCCTCTGCAGGCGGCGGGGGATGGTGCAGGTGCTTTAAGAATTACCGCGGGACTCGGTAGGGGGAGCGCAGGCGCTTCTCCCCAAGATAGAAGCGTTTAGACTACAACTCCCAGCAGCCACGAGAAGCCCTAGGGCTTGATGGGAACGGGAAACCTTATAACCTTTCACGTCCCGGCTCCGCGGGTTCCGTGGGTCGCCCGCGAAATCTGATCCGGGATGCAGCGGCCCAATCGGAAGGTGGGCCCAAATCCCGCGACAGCAAGAGGCTCGTAGCGACCTGCGGTGCTAAGGAACGCAGTGCTTTCAAAATTGGCGTCCGCTGGTCGCCTCTCCTCCCGGGAGTCTTCTACCTCCTCCCAGAAGAGGAAGGAAGCACAGGTGGGTTTCATTAGCTCTGCATCGGATCCCTGAGAACTTCGAAGCCATCCTGGCTGAGGCTAATGTCCGCTGTGCTTCCTCTGCAGTATGAAAACTTTGGAGACTCAACCGTTAGCTCCGGACTGCTGTCCCTCAGACCAGGATCCAGCTCCGGCCCATCCTTCTCCCCACGCTTCCCCGATGGATAAAAATGCGGACCCTGAACTGATGCCACCGCCTCTCGAAAGGGAGGATCCGCCCCGGTTGTCCCCAGATCCTGTGGCTGGCTCAGCTGTGTCCCAGGAGCTAGGGAAGGGGGACCCAGTTTCTCTCTCCACTCCCCTGGAAACAGAGTTTGGTGCTCCTAGTGAGTTGAGTCCTCAAATCGAGGAGCAAGAACTTTCTGAAAATACGAGACTTCCTGCAGAAGAAGCAAACGGGAGCCTTTCTGAAGAAGAAGCGAACAGGCCAGAGTTGGGGTCTGAAGAAGCCATGGAAGATGCCTCTGGGGAACCCGCTGCAGAGGACGAGGGAGACACGTAAGTGGTGATGGCAGTGGAGTGTGGAGTCTGGGGAGATGAACTGTGAAGTCGACCTGTCCTCTGGTCCTCAGAACCACTTCTCTAGGCCCCTGCCTCCTTTGCTTGGCGACCCAGGTTTGTTGTCCCCCATCTTCCTTTCAGTGCTTGGAACTACAGCTTCTCCCAGCTGCCTCGATTTCTCAGTGGTTCCTGGTCAGAGTTTAGCACCCAACCTGAGAACTTCTTGAAAGGCTGTAAGTGGTAAGGATAACAACGGGGCAGGGAGCTGACCACCCCCGGGATTTTCACCGTTAAACAGTCCGGTTATCTAGGAGAGGGATGCCCCAGAGCTGGGAGAAGGAGCACGTAGCCCTTTTAGACTGAACTTACATTTTATCTAGCAGTGTGTGTCTTCTCCTTCCCTCAAGGATTCAGGGGGGCTTACCTACCCCAGAGGTAGGCTCAGCCCTAGACCTACACTTGAAAAGCATAGGTCTGGCCAGCTTTCTAACTCTTTCCTGTTTCTAGGGCTCCTGACGGTTCCTGCATCTTGACCAATAGTGCTGATAACATCTTGCGAATTTATAACCTGCCCCCAGAGCTGTACCACGAGGGGGAGCAGGTGGAATATGCAGAAATGGTAAGGACTGGGGCTAACTCTGCCCCTTCATCAGTGCTGCACATTTAAGTCCTTCATGGAGATGGAGAAAGTGTAGTCCAAGTGCTTCCTGTTCACAAACGGGACTGTTTTTCAAGATGTTTCCACATGTAGCGTTTTCTGCCCGGAATTCTGAAGTTATTTAGAGAGATGTTTCCCCTTTCTTTAATTAGGAATCTGTGTTTTTCGCTAAAAAGTAGTGAATTTCTTGTGGCAGTATATATGTATTTATGTTTATTATTTTTTTGAGACAGGGTCTTGCTCTGAAACCCAGGCTGGAGTGCCGTAGTGCGATCTCAGCTCACTGCAACCTCTGCCTTCTGGGTTCAAGCGATTCTCCTGCCTCAGTCCCCGGAGTAGCTGGTACTTCAGGTGCATGCCATCACACTCGACTCATTTTTGTAGTTTTAGTAGAGATGGGGTTTCGCCATGTTGGGTAGGCTGATATCAAATTCCTGACCTCAGATGATCCGCCCACCTTGGCCTCCCAAAGTGTGGGGATTACAGGCGTGAGTCACCGTGCCCGGCCTATAGATATTTATTGATTGACTACTGATACATGTTAGTCACCGTGCTGGGATAAAGTGGTGGACAAGACATGAAAGGCTGGTTTGCTTTCTCTGTGGGAGATAGACAACAAATACGTAAACCAGCAGGCATCAGGACCAAGATGATAATAAATGCTCTGAAGGAAATACACAGAATGAAGAGAGACTAACTAGAGGAAAGCACATTGCATAAAATGGTCAGGAAGGAGCTCTCTGAAAAGGAGGCATTTGAACTAAGACCTGAAGGAGGATAAGGGGTCAGTCACGTGAACACTTCCGGAAAGAGCTTTCCAGAAACTGGCAATGATAGTGTAAACACCCAGAACTGGGAAATAGCTTTGTGCGTTAAAAGACCAGAAAGGCCCGGCACGGTGGCTCACACCTGTAATCCCAGCTACTTGGGAGGCCGAGGTGGGCAGATCACTTGAGGCCAGGAGTTCGAGACCAGCCTGGCCAATATGGCGAAACCCCATCTCTACTAAAAATACAAAAATTAGCTGCATGTGGTGGCACACGCCTGCAATTCCAGCTACTCGTGTGGCTGAGGCAGGAGAATCTCTTAAACTCGGGAGGTGGAGGCTGCAGTCAGACAAGATTGTACCACTTCAGCCTGGGTGACAGAGTGAGACTCCATCTCAAAAAACAACAAAACAGACTGGGCTCGGTGGGTCACACCTGTAATCCCGGCACTTTGGGAGGCTGAGGCACACAGATCACCTGAGGTCAGGAGTTCGAGACCAGGCTGGCCAACGTGGCAAAACCCCGTCTCTACAAAAATACAAAAAGTAGCTGGATGTGATGATGGGTGCCTATAATCCCAGCTACTTGAGAGACTGAGGCAGGAGAATCACTTGAACCCGAGAGGTGGAGGTTGCAGTGAGCCGAGATCACGCCACTGCACTCCATCCTGGGCGACAGAGTGAGACTCCATCTCAAAAGAAACAAACACGAAATAAAAAACCCAGAATGCTAGTATGGCCAGACTGAGGCAAGTGAGGGAGATAGAGGGGCGAGGACAGAGAAGAGCAGCCACGTTGTGTTGGGTCTTACGGGTGAGGCATTTGGAGTTTATTTGGGAAGTCGTGAGAGAGGGTTTTTTTTTTTTTTTTTTTTGAGATGAGTCTTCCTCTTGTTGCACAGGCTGGAATACAGTGGCGCGATCTTGGCTCACTGCATCCTCTGCCTCCTGGGTTCAAGTGATTCTCCTGTCTCAGCCTCCTGAGTAGCAGAGATTATAGGCATGTGCCACCATGCCTGGCTAATTTTTTTTTTTTTTTGAGATGGCGTCTCACTCTGTTGCCCAGGCTGGAGTGCAGTGGCGCGATCTTGGCTCACTGCAACCTCTGCCTCCTGGATACAGGTGATTCTCCTGCCTCAGCCTCCCGAGTAGCTGGGATTAGAAGCGCCCGCCACCACGGCCCAGCTAATTTTTGTATTGTTTTTTAACACAGATGGGGTTTTACCATATTGGCCAGGCTGGTCTCGAACTCCTGACCTTTGATCCGCTGGTCTTGGCCTCCCAGAGTGCTGGGAAACAGGCGTGAGCCACCGCGCCTGGCCTTTTTGTATTTTTAGTAGAGACAGGTTTTGCCATATTAGCATGGCTGGTCTTGAACTCCTGACTTCAGGTGATCCACCCACCTCGGCCTTCCAAAGTGCTAGGATTACAGGGGTGAGCCACCGTGCTGGGCCATGAGGTTTTGTTTTTTTTTTTTTTTTTTGACAGTCTCGCTCTGTTGGCCATGCTGGAGTGCAGTGGCACGATCTCAGCTTACCACAACCTCCGCCTCCCAGGTTCAAGCAATTCTCCTGCCTCAGCCTCCCG